GCAAAGGTTTTTGTACACCATATCCGGATTTCGACAATTAATGTCTCTTCAGTGATGTCAGGAATCGAAACGGTATTTGGAAAACCATACAATTTACCTCAATTGAGAATAGACTCTTGAATTTTGAGGAGTCAAAATAGGATGAACGGATCATATAAACCCGAAGGCAAATATAATACCAGCCCAAACGAAAAAATATAAACAAGTCTAAATTGAAAACAACGTTTAAACCTATGATTGCGTTGGATAAAAACCGCAATTTTTATACGTGTGCATGCAAAACAAATTTCTTGTTAGAGGGGTCTAAATACAGCACAAACAACATTTTCCAAAAGACCAAAAACGTGAAAAAGTATATTTTAACAAAACGCATTTGACTAACAGGTCGAACAACAAATGTTCTTAAACCCTGCTGACTGCCATCGGCGATTGCCAAATAAACGGATCACCGATGTAATAAATGGATCTTAATTATAAATTTTATACTAAACAGAAAACAATAACCTTGCGGAAAAGATGGTATACCTCAAACAAAAGGTGCAAAGGTTTTTGTACACCATATCCGGATTTCGACAATTAATGTCTCTTCAGTGATGTTAGGAATCGAAACGGTATTTGGAAAACCATACAATTTAACTCAATTTAGGATAGACTCTTGAATTTTGAGGAGTCAAAATAGGATGAACGGATCATATAAACCCGAAGGCAAATATAATACAAGCCCAAGTGAAAAAATAAACAAGTCTAAATATACATATAATCATCAGCACAACCAACAAAAGCTGTAAGCATAGATCATGAATTCATATCTTCATAGCATGTCCACAGGTATTTATATCGATACAATTAGACATATAAATTATTAACTATTAATCAAGAAAATTACCCAATTATCCAACTAGTAGTTTAATAAGAGTGTGGATGAATAGGCACAACAATAATTGAATTTTTTTTTTAAATTATTTTCTCCTGAAGAAACGCAGAAAAAGGAGGGTAGCAAAATCCATGTTGCATAAACATTAATGTGAATAGTATTTGTTTTTAAATTGCGGTTAAAATTCTAATAGTATTTGAAGGTCTTCTCAAGTAATGATATACGAATGGACAACACCATTGCGGACTTTCAAGTGACCAGTGTTTGAATACCTGTGGGATTTAAACACACCTTTTTCCATGATTTTTAGTTCATAAATTAACCAATCATATTCAGATTACGTTCCAACTCACCCATGCAAATTTAAACATTATTGCCCGTTCGCTTCGTCGTTTATCTGAAACCCCAGTGTCTGAAATAAACTACTCCACAGCATCTTTTTAGATTTCAAATGTGAATTCTGCTTGTAAAAATACACCAGAAAATAAAATGAAAATTAGGGGTTATCGTAGATTTCGCGATACAAGCTGTTGAAATAAACGGCATTAAAAGCCAAAAATGTAATTAATATAAATGGGAAAATCATGCAAATAGGCAGGAACTTGTACATTATCAAGCTTTTCTAATTCATTAGTCCACAATTTTAAACTAAAAACGATATACGATTCAAAAACGAACCAAAAATCGATTTTTGCAAAGAAAGTCCGTAGCAACCGTATTAGTTTTCAAGTAATTTTCTCATGTTTCTGTGAAAGTTAAATATGTAGCGAGAAAATTAAAAATATTTGGCGACGTTATCTATGTCTCCAGTGAAGTCTCCACAACTTCAAACGCTATGAGTATAACGCTATCTGTATAACACTGCTGCGTCACACCGTATGAAAAGCGTGAGTGTGTATCAGACATTTTGCTTATCATTGCAAATTTATAAGCGTATATTCCACTGAATAATATCGAAGGATATTTCATACCCTACCCAAAATATTGCCTATCGGCATAAAAAATGTACTGCAAGCGAAAGAGAGATACTGTCAGCTTTCAATAGTCAATTGCAAGCATCATTGATTATGCTTCCATCTTTTATAAATTAAACAATTGTCCGCACCTTTTTGTAATTTTTGTTTTGTCTTATTTTTTCAGGAATCAAATATTAAAAGTTAATGGTCGTGTTTGACATCGTCCCAGTTAACACACAATAGACAGAATAATGACACACTTTATTTATTCATAAAAGTAAACATCATCTTCTACATGTTTACATCCTCACCATAACCGGTGCTATAACTTCGAGATATTGAGGGCAATCACTCTTTTTACTGGTTCACATACATGCTCGTCAAACAACTTTGCAATTGTATTTTACAAAATTTGCTGCCTTGATCGCTAAATTTTTTTTCAACTACATGACAAACCACCATATATTGTTTGCTGACTAAACAGAATTGCAGTAACAAAGGAAAATATTTCTTGATAAATGTTTGTTAATTATCCAACTGAACCATGTGAACGGCTGGTAAACTATAAAAAAAATTGTAAAGTATCTTGAGAATTTGTATGGCTGTAATAAGGTCAAAACAAGATCTCGCATATAATTTTTTAAAAAACAAAATGAACAGATCGACTTTTTTGTTTAACGTCCCGTGGCACATGGTTATGCATTGCATATACAAGACGAAAACAGACAACTAATGTAGAACTTTAAGATCGCAATGAGACTGTTCATAATGTAATTCTATTCAAATTTACCTAGTATAGTGCTATAAGAATTGGGCCTGTATATTATGCAAATTGATTGCACTTAATTTATTGCTGTCAGACTGAATGCCTAGTGTAAATGCTACAGGAATATTATAAGTGTATGTAAAATTTTAACTTGGGTGATAAAAAAGAGTATAATATGTTGGATTTGGTAGTATTCCTGCTACATTTTTGCAAAATGGGTAAAATTGGATTTTTAAATTTTAAAAAAAATACAGTCTTTATAAAGCTATAAAATGCAAGAGTCTAAACTCAATTCATCTCTCATTCCACCAACTATCAAATGACCTACTCTCCATTTGGTTGAAAGGTTCTAAATTGCAGTAAACAAGTGTAAGATTATTTTCTTAAAACGGTATTTAGTCATTATCTTAAAATGAGTTTGAGAAAAATTGTCGACTTCAACATTTCATTTTTAACCTCTGAATTATACACACAAAAACAATGGTGCTACCCCTTCGAAATTTGCATTTAAAGAAAACGATAAACAATGATAAAGAAAAAATGTTATGTTCTACATTGTTCTACTTTTGAGCTTATAACAGTCATAAAACAATTTAAAATAATATGCAGTTTTCTTTCTTTTTTTTTTTCTCTTTTCAATCAGCAAACATTATATCGTACTTTGTCATGTAGCTAAAAAAAATAGAGCTAGCAATCGAGACAAGACATTTTTGAAATAAAATTGCAGAGCTGTGTCGCGTGTATTTGTGTGAACTTGTAAAAGAGGGTTTGGAGGCAGATTAGATTGTGCGCAATATCTCGAATGTATAGCACCGGAAATAGGGAGGATGAAAAGATACTGAAAATAGGGCTTACTTTTGTGAATAAATAAATACCTACAAGCAGAAATACAATTTATAAAAGACGTGTGTATGCGATCCCAATATTATAACTGATAAAAATGTGTAGGTTCATTTTTCTCGATCAGTAACTTTCATTATTTGATTCGTAAAATTAGAACAATGTAAGTATTACAAAAATGGTGCAAACAATTGTTTAATTTAGAAAGGAGGGAAGTATAATGTTAAATTGATAAGTAAATTTCAGTACATTTATCATGTTTTTTTAGACAATTTGCCTCTGTTATTTTGGCGGCACAAAATATTCCTGAAAATTAGTCAAGTTATTTTTTGTTATTTGAATAAGCTTTAGAATTTGTAATAACTAGCACAATGGCAGATTTTTAATTTTATTTGCTGGTGTATTTTTAATAGCAGAGTTTATATCAGAAATTCTATGGTGTAGTTCAGACGTCAATTAGCCTTAACTGACTTAAATTTTCATAAATTATATCTTGTAAAATTGTACTGAAATAAATTATTCATATATTACCATACGTGCTGTCCATTGAACAGAGTGCGTCATAGATCTCAGAACAATACACTATCTTAAGTAGAACTCTGTCTTCTTGGCTCAGATTTGCTATCAAACATCTCCTACTCCCGTCAACTAACAGAACAAATTTAGAGAGAAAGATTTATAATGTTTCCTATGAACATAAGACATATGAGGTATACAAAGAGGATACAACAAACCATATCAAAAGTCATCTGCATGTGAAAGTTGATATATAGTCTCCGACAATAGATAATTGTTTATAAAGTATGACAAGCTTTAACTTTGCCCGGCCATGATTACATGTACACTACAAATACGTTCAGAACCAAATCTACATACACCAGGATTTCTAAGAACAAAAATAAAATTACAAATAAAATCCTATTATAGTAAATGATGCCGTAGTAAAGAATTCTGTCTTTCAGTAAAAGCTTACTCAGATCACTTAACATATCGATATATGAAACGTGTCGTCATACATTGTAATATTTATTGACATTATTTCCGAGTTGATTTCACATAAACACCTCATGTGCATGAAAAATGCCAAATGTCATTTGAATAGAATTACAACACACAAACAAATATGTGACTGGTATACTTATATTTTATTATTTAATGCCCATATAAATGGCAATGCAAATATATTCTCTAGATATATACGCAAAGAAATTTGACCACTACATATCAAATTCAGTGTGCATTAGGTCCAACGATACTTTTCGAAATCAAGAGAAAGAAACAATTAAAGTACTTAAATTTTGATAATAAAACTAGCTTTCCAGATTATGTACATGTATATGTAGTGTAAGAATACATTGATATGTTAAACATAACCAGTTCATAGCAATTGTGATTTTGTTATAAGGAATTAGGAATACTCAAATTCAGGTATTTATTTAAACAAACTATTTAAGGCTTTTTGCAACCATTGAAAACTAATACATACTAAAGTATGAACATACAGAACAAAATATAATTTGATCACAGCAGTCTTATTATAAAAGTAAATTACAGGAAAGATTTCGTCCGACTTCTGTATTAACTGCATATCCCTAAAATATTGAAGCCATATTCCCGGGGGGAGGCCACCATTAAGGTTTTGACTGTGTTGAATCAAAGTAGTGGCATGTGCAAAGCATGTTTGTGTTGATTCATACCATGTGCTATTTGCTCCTTTATCTACAATCAAAATATATATTTGAAACAAGATTGATTGATTGATTGATTAAGGTTTAACGCCACATTATGCACTATTTTGCTATTTTGTGGCAGTCAGTTTTTATTGGAGGAGGAAGCCGGTGCTCGGAAAGAACCACCGACTTTCTTTCGGTAGGAAAACGGACAATCCTAGTCAATTAAGATTGGAGTCGAGCTTCAAACAAGAAAGTTAGTGTAAGGTTCGCATAATAAACATGTGTGTAACATATCTGTATAGGACATGATTAGTCAAAATAGAAATAAAATTAGAAGCAAGCTATACATCATTAAGACAACATCACAATAACAGGAAGAAAAACAAATATTGGTCAACATACACTTTTCAACAATAGACAGGTGTCTACACGATATGTCAATCTGTACATCGTACGGTGGTTGTGTGACTATTATGATATTTGAAATTAATATACCTCAGTAGGTTTTTTCTATATAACAAAGAATGAAATATTTGTGCTATTTCATTCCACAGACTATTTGCCAGTCAATAGTTTCAAAGACTATTACCCCGGTCAATAGTTTTATAAACATATTTCAAGTACTTTTTATACTAATTGTTCATTTGACAACAATGACGTCATTGACTATTCTGCTTGGATTTGTGCGCATGGCAACGTTAAACTCTGAAATATCGTAATCGGTATAATCTGTATGTGTCTGTCGTCGTAATTTCAAATTAATATATTACTTACCAGAAGCAATTACAAAAGAAAAAGAAATCTACGTGACATATTTAAGAACTAAAACATAACAAATGTATGGTATTGTTCTGTCGTCGTCTTCATAATCTGGGATTGCTTTGGTGAACGGTAATATATTTTAGCTAGCGTTTATTATATGCACGGGAATGTTTACAGAAGGATTCCTGGTCTTGATTACAGTAAATCAAATATTGACAAATACCACACGGGCAAAAACACAACCTGATAGTTCATCTTGTGCATGTTTATGTGACTATTTGGTTTTTTTCGAAGTGGTGTATGTAGTCTTTTTTTCATAAAGTTATGTCGTTCGGTAAAATAAAACACTTAATGACTGGTTATGAGTGTAATAGCAAGTTTGTTGTCCCTTTGATACTTACTTTTGCCCTCGGCTTCGCCTCGAGCAATAGTTGGTATCTCAGGGACAACAAACTTGCTTTTACCCTCATAACCAGACAATAGGTGTATACTATTAATCTTCTTGAATGTTATTTCGGAATCACACTCGGGTGTACTGAAATCCATTCGATTTTGTTATGTTTATATCTTTTATGGTCTTTGGCTTATCTTTTTTATTTAACAATACAAAAACCGTCTTTTCTTATTTATAAGGCTGGTAAAATTGCCCTTTAGTCCCCTTAAATATATTTTCCTGCAGGTATACATATTATGAAATCATAATAGCAAATACAGAACAAGATATGTTATAAACATACTTTAAAGTTTTTTCAAACATAGTTTCTCACTACTTCAAGAACGTCATTCCTATTATATCTATCCACAAATGCACATCAGTATATAAAAATAAAGTGATGTGGACTGATGGCTTATGAGACGAGCTATCAACCAGCGACCAAATGGCTTAGATTTACCAGAACGTCTATTATTTTATGACTTTTAATCGAAATAAATCACATTGGCAAAGGGAAATGAAAACTTTATATTTCAATAGGTTAAGATGCATTTTAGTCCCATCACTCTGATAATATATTTGGATTAACCTGGGGCCTGTTATCGAAGCGGTTTTAGGATGATAACATCTCCTAAGACCATCTTATGGTGTGCCGTAATTTACGATTTTCCAATGTCATGGACATCAATTTGGATGTCTTAAGATGGACATATTTTATGATACTTAATTTGTATCTCAAACCCTTTTTTTGTACCATTGGTTGCAACATTGGAAATGTTACTGAATAGTAAAGATTTAGCCTTTCACTAGAGCCTGTTGTTTGGCAACTGTACAGTTAGAATTCCTTGTTTTTATTGTATTTATGTGAAAACAAATGCACGATATTTGCCCTTGAACTTAGTCATGTATGAAACTGTGGTCTTTGAATTCAACTCACTCAAAAATCGTTCATTGACAATGTCTACCGTTGTAAATATTTACACTCAAAGTGGTATTTTTTTGTAGAAAACATAGTTATATTTTATGCTTTGTATTTAGTTAAAGTTTAAATGTACAATAACAATATCAGGGTTTTTTTTAAGCCAATATAATACTGTTATTGATAATTTTCATTGCATGATTATATGAATAATACTTTTATATTCACTGGTTAATTGTTATGCATTATTATCTTACTATATAGTAAACTGTTTCATTGTATTTCTGTATACATGATATACTTATACTCCAACACATAGGATAGCAGTTAGGAGATTCGAGGTTTGATAATCCTAAGAGAACTTCGAGATGCATGCTAAGACATGTCCTAGGACAGTCCTAAGTCCATCCTGAATCATGTCCTAAGATATGTCTTATGACAAATCCTAGGACACCTTCGATAAACAGATTCCTGATTCTTAAAATACTCACGACTTGACGTATTACATACAAACTTCATCCTCTCTTTGCAGCTGCGAATGGGTTGTTCACTCGTAGAATAGCATTGATGACCACTTGAAACAGTTGTTTTTGAGTCGAATGTATTACCTGCTGTCATACCTAATTAATATATAAGTGATACAATATCTATGCAATACAACAAAAGGTTAGTGTGGGATATGAGTAATATACCTCCATAAGTAAATGGCGGAAATTTAAAACCACGGAACAAGATGGTTGAAAAAACTATAATTTGACCCTTTTCGACAAAAATCTTAAAATATAGTTAAATCTAAATACTACAAATTGCCTTTTAAATTCCAACTTAAGTGTTGTTATTGAGACAACTTTGTATTAATACTATGATATGTGAGTAGATTCTCCAAAACACTGTTACTGAACAATGCAATTTTTATCAACCTAGATCCCCTCTCATCACATTTCAGAGTCATTGGCAGATATTGTTCGTATGTCATAGTCTGTACCTATAATCATTGTGTAAGACTGTGTTTTGTCGGGAAGTTAATGACACTTTTTGTTGAATGTTTTTATTAGGGTTTTCTTCCTTAAATCTGCGTTAATACTACGGTCAATACAGATATTTGTGTAAGCATTTATAATTGCGATGGCGAAAACATGCGCTAAATGCGAGATAAATCATTTTGATTTTAAGAAATGATGCAAACAAAATCCAAAATGCGAGTTTTTATTTTTGCGACACCTTTCCAGTCGAAATTTTCGTAATAATAGAACATTGCGAACATTAATGATTTAGAAATATAGTATTAGTTTGCGCACATATAATTTCATTTACATAATTACAAGTTTGCGGGGTTTTTCGAACTTCAAGAATACCACGAAAGTCGACGAGTTGACCTGTATTGATCATGCCTAAACGTCTTGTGAGTATAACATTACATTTCAAAAAACTAAAGTCATCTGTTCATACGGAGACAGAGATGAGCTGTTTCTTAATTCGACGTAAGTTTGTCTTTGCTAAGTATTTCAGTAGGAAATTGTCTCGGTCACACTATCTGTATCCTTCTTCAAATCAATGCCGCACAGTATTGACAGATGAAATCTCGCAGATACACTACCAGTATAAATAGGTCTAATATTTCAACAGAAACAAAATAAAGATGTTAGACTATTGGAGAGCTGTGCAAAATTATATCTGACTACTTTAAATGTGTGTTCAGAAATAATAGACAACTTATTTCAACTAATTACAACATACTATCATGTAATCTAAACAGAGGCAAGCCGCTTCCAGATGTGCAAAATATATCTGTTCCTTTACACGATCCAATACAAGTTGTTGTATTCTGCCATGATACCTTAACTGATTGGTTTAAACATTGACAGATGTTACTCTGGAATGGTCAATTTAAAAAAATATAAGTGTCTCAATTGACTTCCATGTGGAATGAATTCATTAGCAATACTATTTTTATTATCATAGAAATGATCTATTCTAAAATGTCCTAATTTTATTATTTTCAGTTTTGGATTGATGTAAATAAAAAGGTTTGCATTTTCTGAATTAGTTTGTCTTTTGAAGTATATTGTTTCTTTTTATATATGCACATTTTAAATCGAAAATCCAAAATACAAGAAAGAATAAAACGACGTTGAAGATCATAGATCATGTGAAAACGTAGTTATAAATTTTTTCTTACATTAATCATAATAGCCTAGGTTGCTGTTATCCATTAAAAAAAACAACTATGGTGTATTCAAGATTGTGACAACAAGCTTTCAATATTTAGCTTATTATACACTTTTATAAATCATATACTCACAACATAAATGAAATATTGGAATATAGGTCGATTTGTGCAAACAAGCAGACAGTCAAAAATATTTTTCACATTGTACGGATACTTGCTCTTACGAAACCATCTTTGCAAGGTATTTTGAATGTCCAATATACCTGGTGAGTTTATTGTTTTAGGCACACAACCTACAACAATAATTTGAGAACTTAAGTACTGAATGTTATTTTACCTTAGGCCCCGCCAAATTATTACCTCGTTCTTCGGATTCCCCGCGTGTTGTGAAAGGTCGAACAGAAAAAAGTACTTTTTAAAAACCCGCGTCCAGTACGGAGCCGCGCGCGTACGTCTTTAAATTTATAAAACAGTTGTGCGTTTGAAAGTAAGTTCATACAGACAAGGAAATTGACATCAAAAAACGATCTAGATCTAACATTTACAACGCTGTTTGTTACAATATTATTGCCAAATTTAGGATGATATACATTCTTAACGTAAGACATGTGTGAAATATTTGTAGTTACAGTGGTAACGCATGCAAACACAGCAGAAGTATATGATTTGGACAATTCTTTTACCGGTGTGTTGGTAGTGCAGCTTTGCTCCGTCACAAACGTTCATAACGTTATGATCAAACTATAATTATGACCCAGAAAGTATGACAGCAGTTTTTAGACCAGACTTTTTTCATCTGTGTTATAATGAAAAAAATCCCTTGAAATTTTTTAATCTTTTATTTATATTTGCAAGCTATATATAGTATAATTACAAAGCTATATTAAAATAAAATTGAGAATGGAAATGGGGAATGTGGCAAAGAGACGACAACTCTACCAAAGAGCAGAAAACAGCCCAAGGCCACTATGGGTCTTCAACACAGCGAGAAAATCTCGCAACTTTAGACGGGCTTCAGCTGGCCCTAAACAATAATGTTTACTAGTTAAAAGCATGGAATTTGGCAAGAAAGTTTATGTGATAAACTAGTTCACAGTATTACCTTCAACACAGAGAATTATCCACATGCATATTTATAAATTTGATTGTCATTTAATTCTACAGCAATGTAATGACTAAGTGGAATGTATTAAAATGTATTGACATGTTCCTTTTGTTTAGTTAGCATATTGGATCTGACGGGATCATTTGAATGGTATAAATTGGAGCGGTTTTTGGATGACAGTCCTTTACTTATTTTCAGCTTGTTGTATATGGGATATTTATGGTTGTATATACAAGCTTTATACATGCATTTATGCTTTGATTATTGTTATTTGAAACAGCGTACAATGCATCGATTACAACTTACATTAAACTTGGACGTGTGTCTGTTCAAAGCTGTTGCACTTTTTCATGTTCAGTAGGATCATATTTATTTGATCGGACTACAAGAAGTTGCAAGTTTTGCTACAAGTTAACCATTTTATAATTGGAAATGTTGAGACAAGATTAAACTGGGTGTCAGAGAACAAATTGAGAAGCAAAGTATGTTAATATAAGAACTAGGATATGAGATATATAAAATATCAACCACCGAAACGATGTAAATTTCTAATCGCTCGCTCGCTTAAAATTCTTTTCAGAGATTTGTTTTTTTTTTAAATATTTCAAAAATAATAGCGCTCGCAAGTAAAAAATTGTTTCGCCTGCCAAAAATCTAATTTTGGAAAAAAAACATATAAAAAATTCGCTCTCTCGCTACCCTTTTTCAAAGGAAAGAGTCCGAAGAACTAGCAATTAATTTGGTGTGGCCTTAGGTTTATATTCCATCATTTTTTTGTTGTAGTTAATTTTCAAATTTCTCTGCCTCTGTGCGTTCGTTATCAAAGTTACTTAAAAAGGAGATCAAAAAACGATTTCTTTCTGACTGCTCAGGGAATCAAGTAGATATATATATATATCTAGGTTCGTTAACTCGTGGACTGTCAGTATTTATCAAGCCAGCGGGTCAAGATATTTTAGACTCTTAAAATCCAGTGTAAATCTTGATGGGTTATAAGTTGTATAAAACTGTAAATTTTATGATGTTTATCCCGCAAACAAATATAGTTGCGTTTCCCTAAGTCAAAACTGTCTACGCAAAATTGGTTAGTTTCATTTGATTAACATTTATCAGTTATCTAGCAGAAACTGAAACATACTTATTTGTTCATCGAATAAAAAAGTACTATTATATCATATGACAATTCCAGGACTATCTATAACACACAAAAACAAAAACACGTACATGTGTAGACATTTCAAAAACAAACAGAGAAAACTGATAAACTAGTAAATATGAAAATCAATTCAACACAATGAATTAAACTATTTTCTGTAAGGTCTACTGTTTCTATTCAATAATTCTTTGAAGATTCTTTGAAGATTGGATTTGGCTTTCTATTTTAGGAACGCACATGTTTTGGTTCCTTCTCTTCTTAGCTTTCAATTGTTTTGCTTCTCACGTTCTTGGTTATTGACAATCCAGAAAAGCGCTTTAGACGCATATGATTTATAATGTGTTATTTTCATTTTCAAAGCAATTTTCCGTTGTTTGCATTGTTTCGTAAACACTTATTGTGCTCTTTTTCATAATAGTAATACATGTCAAAGAAGTAGAAGAAAGAATGTCAGTGGACAATAAACAAATGAATGCACATGATAGATAACAATAATAAATATTGATGAAGGCCAAACGGTGACATATAGCTGCCAACTGCTACGACATTTTGTCTCTGCGGAAATGTTGTCTCATTGGCAATGATAGCATATCTTATGTTTATACAGAAGTGAGAAAGCTCTTGAAATTCTTACTCCCGCTCAAACATAAAGCAATGGCAAAGTCTATGATTTGCTGATTTGCATGAGAAATCCCAACTATAATTTTGATAAAAATAATTAAATTTCTAATAAAGGGGAAGATGAATTGATTACCCCAAGATAAAGCATATACAGCGTTACCAGAGTCCTGTTTAAGAACTGTTACGGATAAAAAAATGACAGGAAAACGAACAAACAAACAAATGGACAAGCGGACAAACGCACGGTCCATCGGACAATCACACAATTCAAATAAAAAGTTATAACCATATTCCATAATCATAAATCAGAACCACCAATATGTAAGCCATTCATTCAAAACACCGTACCTTACCTATAAAAGATCCCCAGTCTGACAGTAATACAGTTGTTTGTATCCAGGCTGCATGTTCTTTTTGTAGTGAATTCTTCTTGACAACTATTCTATCAGTTACATCGTTTAATGTTAAAAGTTGGCATGCTTTGTTTGCTTCTTGCCAGTTGGATAATGCATGAACTTGAAAAGGAATATACATTGAAATTTTAGAAACTATCTTATATCACAATTTGTTATATTACAATTGTTAATTATGTGGGTTAAAATTAGTCAAAAAGAAGTGATTATATTTACTCTGAAAACAAGTCTAAAAATTACACGGATCATGTTTTTATCCTTTCGAAATTGCAATTCGTCAATTTAAAGAAATATCAAAAGTTGTATTGACACTATGACGATACTTTTAAAATATACTAGATTTTAATAAACGTAATGTAAATTAAAAAATTATGAAGTCAAGGATTTCCATAACACAAATTACTTAAACACTTACTATTTTTTTTTCAAAGATACTGTACAATGATTTGGTTTAGAAGTTTGGCTGTAACTTACAAACAAGATATAACATTGTAGTTTTTAAGGTTGTAGAGACCGTTAAATTAGACACGATCCCAAAAAGCAAAAAGCAAAAAGCAAAAATCATGTTTTTACACTGATCGCGTTTATGGCGTTTTAACGCATAATCCATTGGATGTGTAAATATTGATCTTTTATCTTGGATACATGATTTTTTTATTAGTTTTTATAAGCTTTAAATTCGATTTCAGTAACTGATACTCTCGGTACTTTGTGTTTTAAGACTTTTTATTTGTTTTTGGAGTTTTTTTGTGCTTTGTGTCGATATGATGAGTCAAGCTTTTTCGACTGATGTTTATAGTAAGTCAGGAGCCTGTGATTCAGTGGTTTGCTTCTCGTTCATTGTTTTCTACATTACTCAAGTGGTTAGTTTTCTCGTTTTACACTTGTCATATCGGGGTCTTTTATAGATTGTTATGTGGTATGGGTTTTGTTCATTGTTTAAGGTTGTATAGTAACCTATCTAAAAATACTACCATCGCTAACATTTTTAACAATAAAAATCGTGGTTACCCTTCTATCGATAAGTGTCATGCCAAAAAATGACTTACATGTCCCCGTCTTTCCACCAACAATACGATAAGGTCCACGTTTAATGGTAGCACATTTTCTTTAAATTTTGAAACTGATATAACTTGAAAAACAAACAGTATAATTTATTTACTCACATGAAACAAACCGGGATGCGGTATTCAGTACGTAGGTGAAACTGGACGATATTTATCTAAACGCACTCAAGAACATCTGTATCGTTTTAAAAGACCCAATAAATTCAAAAGTATCATTTATCAACACCTTAAGAAGCACAATCATCCTATTAAATATTTAGCAGTTCAACCTTTAGAAGTAGTAAATAAGCAGCCTGGTGAATCTCATTCAAAGTTTGTACGATCGCGGAAAATAATTGAATTAAATTGGATTAAAAAATTACAGACAGTCTACCCTCTCGGTCTTAATGATAATATCATGGGAATTGGTAATA